AGAGAGAGAGAGAGAGAGAGAGAGAGAGAGATTGGTTGCCTTCTGTAGGTGCCCTGACTGGGAATTGAATTGGCAGCCTTTTGGTGCAGAGGACTACGCTCAACAAACTGAGCCACTCTGGTTGGGCAGGCAGGTGTATCTTTCAGGCTGAAAGGCATTCTGTAGCTCTTACTGCTCAGCTTTCACAAATGATAAGGCATGTCTGTAGCAACCAGGGCCCTGAACTTCTTGTTTTTATAATCAGATGGTATCTCAAGGAGCTGCTGAAGAAGCCTTGAATGAAAATGAACACAGAAGGAATGTAACAATCCAAAGTTCTGGGACCAAAATATTTTCAAATAGACTGTAAACAAGTAATATCAAAGAGTGAGCCAGGATAGAGGAGCCTGCTAAGGAAGAATCTCCAGTGCTCAATGTGCTTATTTTTGTTCGGATAGAACGGGCTGGAAAGAAATTATGCCCAAGATTCTCTGTCCCTTTCTTTCCGTTAGTCTGTCAACCATTGGTGTATCATTACCTGTATATAAGTGATACTTAATCATTGTAAGTATATTTAAATCCAACCTACTCTCAAGGGCAAATTGAGGTGAGAGAAAAATGGAAAATAACCTGATCTACTGATTCCTCACCAGGGGCAGCTTTACCCCCCCATGTCCTCTGATGTTAATTTTTTTTTTCTTTTTTGCCTACCAAATTGCATTTATTAAATGCAAATTATTTTATCTTTCTATGTTTTTAAAATAAAAAACATTTTATTAATCAAAGACTACCAATCATTGCCTGCGATCATGACAAGAATACCAGTGTGACTGCGCCGGGCTGAGAGAAGTCCAGCCAAGAGCAGAGCCGTTTTAGTTGGGCCATCGGGATGCATCACAGGGGCGGGTAGAATTTCCAAAGCAATGCTGCCTTTGCCTGCCGCTTAGGAAGCCAGAGGCCTGAGTCTGGAACATGTGATCTTTGTCAATTCCTTTTTTCAGAGCAAGTAACTGAGGCTTGAAGTAGTAAAGAGACTTGCCTAAGATTGTACATTTAATAAAGAGTAAGTCTGATGCAAGAACTTGAACTTTTTGGTTTTTTTTTTAAACGAATTTTTAGTCAAACAGACTTTCCATTATACCAAGACTTTCTTTCAAAAGACACTTATTTGANAATAAAGAGTAAGTCTGATGCAAGAACTTGAACTTTTTGGTTTTTTTTTTTAAACGAATTTTTAGTCAAACAGACTTTCCATTACACCAAGACTTTCTTTCAAAAGACACTTATTTGAAAAAAACACACCAAAAAAACTGAAGTCAGACATTAACATGATTCTGGACACGATGCTGGTGGCTGCCATAGAAAGAAGTGGGAATTGGCTGTTGAAGTAAACTCATCTCATCCTGAGGGATGGTATCTATGGTCTTCCTCCCAAACAGCACAAAGCCCTAGAAGCTGTGACTGACTGTCACCCTTGGGTGCAGAAGATGCTGGACTAAACCAAGGAATACATTTCACAGAAAGACAGTGTTTGGCTCTAGATGTCAAGAAATCATGTAGCCCGGGATCTTCTTTCGCTTTCCTGGCCCATGCTGGTCTGTCTTCTCTGAATTCCCCTTGCACTTTTTGTAGCAATGACTGAATTTAGGTTTTTAATTTTCTAATATGTGAATTTTTGGGGGTCTTTTTGCCTAGCTTATGAGTTCTTTGAGGGCAGAGACCTGACTCAATACATTGAACAAATAAATGAATGAATGGACAGTTAGACAAACAAATATAATTATATGATAGTTGAAGACAGAAGTGAACACAGGCCATCATGGGAGCAAGAAGGTAAGAGCAGACTGGGCTGGCAAGGTGAAGAGACACAGGAAAGCTTCTCACTGCCATGGAGTGGGGCAGGGACAGAAGTCACAGGCAGCACACTATATAAAGAACATCTCTTTCCTGCACACCCTTGATTTCATGCTTCTCTGGAGAGTCAGCCATGTGTGTGCTAATAAGCTGGGTGGTTTGATGTGGAAGATGCACTTGAGAAATAATGAGTGTGATGAGGTATCAGTGCCTGACTGTGACAGCTGCCACGCTCTCTTTCCAGCTGACCTAGCCTTCGCTCCTCCCGGGGAGTGGGCAACTCAGGACAGCTTTGCTCCTGAAGTAAAACCCTTGGAAGAGACTGAGCTGGAAAGTCAACATCCCACATTTACGAATAAGGGCACATTGGTTGGAATGTCACCACTACTGCTCTGGGGACCTATGGACAGGCCTGCAGTCACTTCTGTCAGATTCACCATCTTCAGGAGGAATCCAGCCTTCAGTATGTTTAATTTTCCTTGGTGATAAGTGGCTGTGACAATGCCCTAAGGCAAAAGCAAATAAGTCATCTCATAGTTGTGGGAGGAAGTAGACCTTCTCCTACTGAGCACCAGATGGGACTGTCTCCCAGTATCACACAGAACCAAATGTGCAACTGCTGTTTCTCCCTCAGGCCTCACTTCCTGGGGAGCCATTCATCCCACTGCGGGCTGACGATGTGAAACTTACTTTTCTATTTATGAAACAGGCTCTTAAGATGCTGTTCCCGGGATGCCGGGGCCATTTTTCTCTTCTTCTTATTAATGTTAGCATTGCTAATAAAATTTATGAGGCTCTTTACAGATTATAAATTACTTTTACATAATGAAATTTGTGGTTGCTTAATTCACTTTGTGCAATACTCCACACAGTATCCTTCCTACATGAGGAGAAATTTAATACATGCTATCAGGAATGATATGATTGAGAACCATTATTTTATTGTTAACACATATTTTTCCATGTGTCAACTACGAGTAAGGCTCCTTATGCTAAAATTTAACACCTAAATGATCGGGGCTGAGTTTTCAGCAACTTCCTGATTTTATTTTTACATCCTGATAAAAACTTTATCTATCCTTTATTGATAAGAATATAGTCTGATTTTAAGATATAGCTCTGGCAATTTCCCCAGAGATCTCCTATGCATTTAACTTAATTCTCTTAGGCTACACCTCCTGCTACTGCAGCTCGCTTCATTTCTTCCTCCTCAGAGGAGACAGCGGGACAGTTAGCCCATATCCTCTGTGAGTAACTGCTTTCACCTCTGGGAGTAAGTCATTTCTTTGATCTGCCCACGAACACTGTTTTCCAGCACTTTGTGGTTGACTCTTGCACCCTGTCAAATACTCTGAGGTCTTGAGGCCCAAAGGGAGGCGTATTTGCGACAGACACGCTAGCATGAACTCTTGTGATCTCTTGGAAAAGATACTATGCTGTTTATGTGTTTTAAGATGATCAAATAGCTTTATTCCATTTATAATAAAGGAGCTTGAAATATTTCATAGCAATAATAGCTATGATTTAGTGAGTGCTTACCCTATGCCAAAGACCGTATGAAGAACTTGACATTAATGATCTTGTTTAACCTTTACGCTAGCTCTTATGAGGTAAGTGTTCTTTTTTTTTTTTAATTAAAGTATGATTTTATTGATTTCAAAGAGAGGGAGAGAGAGAGAGAAACATCAATGATGAGGGTTATTGATCTGCTGCCTCCTGCATGCCCCCTACTGGGGATTGAACCTGCAATTCAGGCATGTGCCCTGACGGGGAATCAAACTGTGATCTCCTGCTTCATGGGTCAACATTCAACCACTGAGCTATGCTGGCTGGGCAAGGTACGTGTCCTTAATGTACCTAGTTTAGAGGTGAGGAACAAAAGGTCACAGAACTGATTACTGGCAAAGCAAAGAACCAATCCTGGCCTGATCAATTCTCAACTCCCTGTTCTTAGCCTCTTTGCTCTGCTACCTCATTTTTGTACAGGAGTTGTCTATAAAGCAATGCCAACAATTTCTATCAAACTGCCAAAGGAAATGTGTTACTTTATAGTCAGATTAGGAATTTCTGCTTAATTTGTTTAGTGATTTTCGAAGGAAGATATTTTAGAAGTCCTCTGGAAATTAAAAATAAAAAAATCATGCATTTTCTTCCCCTTGTTCATAAATGTGCACAAGTATGGAGCTGTTGGTTTAAGTAATAGATATTTTACTGCCAAGCCATGAAGAAACGCCCTATAAAGGATAGTGGTCTATATACATGAGGTTCTAATTAAGGAACTTAAGAATTATACGATACAGCAAAGTGAAATGCCAATGAAAAGAGTCTAAAATATTGTGCGCTCCTTCTATAAAAACCCACACATTTAAAAAGATTTACCAGCTGAACTGCTCTCAGAAATAAGAAACAATTCTAAGATGACGCTACGTATCATTTGGGAAACAAAACCAAACAACTAAACGAAATTAAATTAACCTACCTTCAAAACAACCTGACGACAAAACAAAACAATCACACACACACAAAACAACTTGTGAAATGAAAATAAAAGTCAAGAAACATTAGTGAAGACATTTTAAGAAATTACTGACATTATGTCTGTAGTGGCTCAAAAAACTTGAATACAGCTTTAAGAAAAGGGAATGCTTTAAAAAAAATCCACAATGGCACTTTCCATTTGTAAGCATTTGTGACAGAGCTGTTAATGATGTACTGTGTCATATGGAACAGGGGGCCAGATGAAGGCCTCCAGTGGCCTCCACTTACATCAGAGGTTCCAGAGACTTGGGCTTAATGAAGATGGCAATGGGATAGAGCTGGGCAACTTGTAACCGCTTGATAGCATTTCCTGATACGTCAAGTATACAGTGTTTGCCCTGGTAGAAAGAGAAGAAAAATATGGAGTTAATCCAGAAAAAATGAATATAATCCAACATCCACTAAAAATAATGTGCGTTTTAGGAGAAGATAAGGGATAATGGATTTCTAAGGGTTGAGAAGGATCGCTGCAAAGCATAAGTAAAAGTTGATACACAGGTCATCACTGAATGCTTGCCATGACTCATATTTATTACTCCCTTACTAAGTGTCTGCCACTGGGATAGACATTCCACATGTGTTATCTCAGTTAACTTTCTTTTCTTTTCTTTTTAAAAAAAATGAATTTAGTGGGGTGACATTGGTTTGCAAAACCATACAGGTTTCAAGCATACCACTCAATAAAACATCATCTGCACACTGCATTGTGCACCCATCACCCCAAGAAATAGCTGATATTTTGTACAAAGAAGGTATGTAGCCATGTGACTGGGTCTACTCTCGTAAAGCTCGAAAATCATCTCCGAAGACAACTGTTGAGAAGAAATTCCCAAATCTATGAGGTAAGTGTAATCAACCACATTCTACAGAAGAGAAGACTAAGGCTTAGAACCATTAATGAACTTGCCCAATGTCTCGGAAACACAAGTCTTGGGCACCGATAGACTTGTTGGAATAAACAGACACCTCATTGTTTCACCATCTGATGGTAAATTTGAAGGAATGCTAACCGTGTGAATTTACAATAATTCCATGAGTATTTGCTGAGTGCTCATATGTATCCCGACCTTGATGTGCTCAGTCTAGCAGAGGACACACACACGAGTTACCTTAAATAATGTATCTTAAATGCTGAGACAGAGGCTTGCCCAGGGTATGTAAATTTCTTATTTGTTAACGAACAGAAACCCTATTACATTATAGCACACCTCATTTAACTTGGCTTCCGTTGCAAGGAGTTGTTTTATAAAGTAGTTCTGGAAAAGTAGATCTATTTGCCACACATCATATTCTACCTCCTGAAGAGAAATGGCCTCATTACCCTGATGCTAGAAGAACTTTACACAAGAAGAGAAACAGCATATTATGCAGATAGAAACAGTTCTAAATCAACAATAGGGAATCAAAACTCATCTATAATATTTAAGTGAAAATGAACAGAGTCCACGAATACCTGAGCTCTTATAATTGGAGAAACGCACTGAGATGGTTTAAGTAATAGATTACTTAAACCACTTAAGTAATAGATTCCGAGTTTGCTGTCTGAAGTGCAGCGGCCACATAAAATTAAAACTTCTAAATGCTATTTGAGTTATCCACCGGCCAGAGCAGTTCAAGTTAACAAAGTTTGTATCCACATGTTCAAGGAGCAGAATAAATGCAATTATCCAGGAGATCCATTACAAACGGTTTGATACAGCTCACAGGAACTAACTTTTGACAGAGAGGAAAATGGGTACAGCCGCTTAGTGTATTCTTAGACAGACATTAAAATTTCTTATTTAGTTTTTGTACCACTACATCAATGGGGGGGGGATGTATTAAATGAATTTGACCCAACAAATATCAATTATATAATAAATATAATTGGCTCTTAAATACTTATTTTTCCTCTTATGAAATTAATTCTCTGTTCACAGATCAGGACCTCCCTCTAGGCATATCTTAAGGCTACACTCAAGTGACTTCCTATCCTATTCTCTTTGGAATGTTCTCCTCTCTTCCAGTCCCTTAATTATCAGCAGGGAGGCAATCACAGCAGCTACACTTCTTTAAGCTGGAATTTTTCCCAGCAGCAGGCTAGGCAGTCCTCCCATCTATCTATCTATCCCCGCATCATGAAGATCTTAAGTTTTCAGGGAGATAAGACTTAACTGCTGCTAATAAAAAGGATGCTGACCTAAACCATCAAGAGTAATGAAGCTTCCTTAATAAATTCACAGTTGCTTACTGGGACCAAAGTCAAGAACAAAGGGAATCTTCAAGAACCTCAAGCTGTTAAATGCCTTTAGGTTTACACTCCATCCTTTCTCCCTCAAGTCAGCCAGCCAGAGATTAGAACAAGGATTAACAACCATGCTCTAAAGTGATTCTTTACTTAGAGGTCTTAAAAGGAATATTTAATTAAACTTTACAAATGCAATCAGGAAAAAGTAATGACCAAAGTATGCATTTTGCCACCTGGGACCCTTCTGCAGGGGAGGTGTAAGATGGTTGGTGAACATACCCTTTCTGCTACAAATCTCACAGACTGCACACTGGTCCCATACAAGTTGTCGTTGTACTGGCCAGCTTCTATGAACTTGTGCTCTTGGATATCTTTCTCCATTTGTTCTCTGGAAATGACAAAGTGATAGTCTCTGCCATCCACCTCGTAGTCACGCTTTGGCCTTGTGGTATCTTAATAAAGCAAAAAATAATAAAATTAAGATAATATATTTATAATCATAAACTTCTTTTCTATTTATTTACTTCACCACACCCTCAACAGAGATACATAAAAATATGTAATATGAAGGACTATGACATAGTCACAGGTACCAGTCTTAGCCTCCTACTGAAAACAACTGTAAAGCTAGACAAAATATATGGAACAACTAATTTCAAGCATCAGACAACAGGCAGTGCAGGGCTGTGATTCTTGATAAGAGAAACACACAAGGGGAATTACATTTACCCTACTTTCATTTCTTAATGGAGAGTCTAGAGGTCCATGGCCTTAGAATGGTTACATTTTGGAAGGTTACTCTAGACTCATCTTCACCAAGTCATTACTGAAAGAAGCTGATCTGTCAGTAAAATCTTAACATTTTATATATAAAAAAAATAACAAAATCCAGACTCTCAATGATGTAGCATCACAATGTCCAGCACACAATAAAAGATTATGGGACAAGCAATGAAGCAAGAAAATGTGTCATATAACCAGGAAAAAAAATGGACATAGAGTATAAATATATTCAAGAATTTTAAAAGATATAAAATTAGATCATAGTTAAGGCGGGACTGAAAGTCATCAACTCTAATTTGGGCTAGATGCAGCTAAACTTCTTTGTAAGAAGTGAAGGGCAAACTATCAATATAAACAAAAAATGTTAATATATTTCCAATCTTTGACTTAGCTATGCTATTTCTGGGAATCCATCTTAAAAATTATCAAACCATACAATTTTATCCTTAAAGATGTTTAATTATATTAGTTTATAAGTTATAAGTAAGTTTAACATTTAATTACAATTCATAATAATGAAAAGTAGAGAAAAATAAAAATACCCATAAAGGAAGAATGCTTAATAACATAATATTTAAAATATTTATATAAAATTTTAAATAATGTAAACAAAAAAAATACTCTATATATCTAAAATGTACCTAACTGCAGAAGAAAATGCACATATAGAATGAATAGATGGAAATCTAACAAATATTAGCAGTGATGTTAGCTCTGGGTACTGTGTGGGATTCTGTATGTTTTTTATTGTCTTTTTTAACTTGATTTTTAGCATTTCAAAGTTTGGTACAATGAACATGTATTTCTTTCTCTCTCTTTTTTTTTTTTAAAATATATCTTTATTGATTTCAGAGAGAGGAAGGGAGAGGGAGAGAGAGAGATAGAAACATCAATGATGAGAGAGTCATTGATCGAGCCCACAACCCGGGAATGTGCCCTGACCGGGAATCGAACCCTGATCGCCTGGATCCCAGGTCGGCGCTCAACCGCTGAGCCACACCCCGCAGGGCTGAACATGTATTTCTTATAATTATATAGTGCTCTAATTTAAAAAAGAGTAAGAGAAGAGTGTGCAGGGTTGAGGAGGACATGAAAATAGTGCTTAAGGACTGTGTTGTTTTTTCTTCCAAAACTGGAGGAACAAACTGGAAGGTGCTATGAATGGACTAGGGTGTGACTTGATCATTTCTACGTAGAGCCTTTCTCAGGACAGGTTCTATGGCAGGATCTCTCCCCAGAGACCTTGCTGGGAAGCTTCATGAGATACAGCAATCATCCTAGTTCCCTTCTGTCCATAGACTGTACACATGCAATTCCTGCTATTCTCATGTATTTCAGGTGACATTTGCAGTACTGAAATGTAAGAGAAACTTCAAAGCATAGAGCTTTAAAAACTGTAGAGTGAAAAAAAAAGTAGAGTGAGAAAGAAATACTTGTTGGGATCAGATTTAAGCACTGTCATCTAATACATTGAAGTGTTCTGATGGGCATGTCTACATACACAGAAAGCTTCCATGCATTAATGTGACACTGGGAATGGAGACGGAGGGGTGAGTAGGGCGAGTACGGTGGGTGGAAGGAGGGAGAGCAGATAGAATTTTACAGGGATACCCACAGGGGGACCAGGGACCTGAGAGTTGTGTATATGACAAGAAAGCAAGGTTAAAGTCTATAATGGCTGAGGGGGTAGGTTAAAGTTTTATACACCTTCTGGTCTTTATTCTACCAACTCCTAGGACGATTAAAACACAGGGGAAAGGCTATTTCATTTTGGACTGATGCATGGCCTGAAGTCATCTTGAGATGATTTTAACAAAATGGCTTTGTTTCCAATCTTTCTTATTCTATGGGAAAAGATTTGTCAGCGGCATTTCGATCATTCTGTGAGAACACACTGATGCCTATCAACAGTCCTGTTATTTTAAATGCTGTCGCAATTACAAAGAAAGAATTCACCCTGCCTTGTTGGGGAGCACAGTCAGTTTGAGGAACATATTATACTCACTAAATAGAGAACAATACTTATCAGGATAGATGAAAAACATGAGGCAGGGAAAATTAAATAATAATAGGTAATAGGTAACTGATAGTATTTGAATCAATGGAGAGATTATTGGAGAGACAGAACTATGATTTATCATCTTAAAGGGAGCCAAGCTTTTTCTTTCCTGAGAAAAAAGAAATAATACTTACGAGGCACACAGGAGCCAAATTTGTCAGGGAATTCAGATATCAAGTCGTCGTTGATCCGATCCTTCATGGGGCCCAGGATAATCACTGGCCGAGTATAGTTTACTGCAGAGGGAAAGGAAGGTGAAGGTGAGGGGAGAGACATGGAAACAACTGCAAAGCTGCCTGCCCTTCAGGGGGGTTCTTAAGGCAAAATTGCCAAACAGTAAGAAGTGCCGAGGGCGTCCCTGCATCGGGTAAACTGCCCACACAGCCCTGCACGGGAGCCTGATGTTTAACGTTCAGCGTGTTTGTCTGCTGTGACTACTTTCTGGAATTTATTAACAGGAGAAAACAACTGCAGCGTCTGACAACGAAAAGAAGCATTTGGAGGGGTTTTGCTTGCTTTTCGGTTGTGCCTACACAATGTCAAAACCACGACCGAATTTAGTCAATGCAGTGGGAGAAAAAAGATTCCAAAGCAGCGGCTTGGCCGTTGTTTAGACAACGACTTTAAAAAGTAATTGTTAGTAGTAACGACAACTTATGTTTTTATAATTTCTCTTCCTCAGCTCAAAATGCTGTTTATACCCTGCGGGGGTTTCCCAATTCCTTTGTATCGCGGGTTAGAAGCAACTCCACAGTTCCTTTGGTACAATTCCTCATCTGATGCCTGCATTTCCTCTGCGATATGACAGCCATTAGCTTCTGTATAAATGGCTCCAGGAAAGGAAGCCCAGGCTTCTGGAACAGCCCACAGGCGGCCTGTGCCTTAGGACAGGTGTGCAAAACTCCCTTCTCAATACTGAGCTGTCTTCAGGCTCCCGGGAGGTTTTATCCACACTGTAGGTGGGACTCTTTAGTGACTCGGCTGTGGCCTTCCCATGAAGGCCCACTCCTCCGGAGGAGCCCCTCTGTCCTCCGGGGGCTGTCGCTGCCCGTGGCCAGCAGTGATTGCTGGTGATGGGGCGAAAGAGAGAGCACGTGGTGTGGGAACAGCCCGGTGCTAAGCGGAGGTTATTTTCCTTCTGCCTTCACCCTTTCCCTTCTATAAGGGTGTCACCTGTCGCGGCCTGGAAGTCAGGAACCGGAGCATGCCGGGAAACTTACTTTCCTGCCTTGTGACAGGCTCATAAGAGAGAATGAAGTCTTCTTGCCCTCCTGGGAAGAGAAGAGAGGAAATTTATGGTGGACTAACAGCCAGCCATGCACCGCAGCTACAAGCCCTGCTCTGAGACGGGAGCAGGCACAGCGCGGGGTTAATTCCCGAACTCTCTCTCGGTCAACGACTCCGTAACTCCCTCCTCAGAAAACTGTTCAGCACTGTTACAGTGGCAGGTTTCTGACGGTCACACCTCTAGGCAGCCGAAGGAGTCTAGTGGTCCGCAGTCCATCAGGGCAGGGACCTATGAGCCCGCCTTCCCTCTGACACTGAGCAGCGGGGCACTGTGGCCTCCACGCCTAGTGTTACTACTTAAGAGAAAACCGCCTAGTTCAACAGCAAAGTCTGTCCGATCCTTTGCTGCTACATTATTGGAATTTCTGGGCCTTTTATTTCATCTTCCATTTTATTTCCCAAAGAAGCAAATTGTTCAAAAACAAGTGTCTGCTTGTTTCATTTGTGATGCAAAAACTTCATCAAGATATAACAGGACACTGAGGATTTTACTCTAATAATTTACTCTGATAATTTGTTGGGAAAATGCTAGGTCAAGTCAAGAAGATAAAAATTGAGGTGTCCCCTAAGTCCCTGGTGATAATTGCCATTAAATCTAGCCTGGAACTTTGGGAAAAGAAGACAGACAATGTAGTAAGAGTGTCATCCCTTCCAATGTCATATGCCACAAGCCCTTTGATTCATGCTGGGCCTCAAGTCAACAAATAATCCTGGAAGGTAAACTGGTTTTAGGCAATTATTTTTTTCAGTCATCTATTTTACCCAGTTCATGACCTGGGCATGTGATGAGGCTGATGCAGCTGCAAACCCAGAAGGGCATGCTCTTGTATTTGCTATAGGCCTAGGACTGACTATCCTTTGGTGGGAAGTTGGTTAGGGCTGTTGAAAAAGACTTCCTGTCTGTTGTTTCATATAGGAGGTAGTTTTTCCTGAAACCAAAGGGCAATGACTCTCACTGCTTTATCTCCCATCACCCCTGCAACAGTCAGTCTGTCAGTGCCACATGTTCCTCCTTCAATAGCCACAACATCAGACCAGCTGAGTTCATTTCATAAAAGGGGTTAATATCATAGTTGCAGACTGACAACAGTTTTGGGGAAATTAAGTAGTATGTGGATACAGCTGTGAAGTAGAGATGTCTTCCCTGGAGACTGGGTAGCTGGGGTTGGGTAGAGGTGCCTTACATGTACAAGTATGAAAAATGGTCCTTGGCTTAAGTCACACCATACTTCACCCTCAAGCAGGGCCTACTCTCAGAATGGCACTGCTAGGCCAAGCTACTTCCTAAAGGCATGGAGAGGGGGCCTGATGTTTCTTCTAAGTGGCATCTACTCAGCTTCCCCAGAAGTGTTCAAGGCACATTCCCACATCTGGGCAGGGGCTTCGTATGTGAAGAGTCAGATTCACCTTTTTTTTTTTTTCTGATTCAGAAAAAATGATTCATTTTAATAAATAAAAGTACTGACATTTACAGAGGCTAGGCCAAAAAAAGAAGAAAGAAAAAAAAAAGTGATTGATTGCTAAGCTCCAGCTATCTAAAGTCTGAGATATAGAGGTCATAGGAATTCAAAAGATAGGCTTAAAATTGTTGGGGAAAGTATAGCTTTAGGAATAGAAGCATGGCCGACTTAGAGCCAATGCCAGACTTTAATTTTACAGGGAAATCTAGGTGGAGTGATTAAAATGTGAAAGGAGAATATTAACCATGGGATAACAAGGGTTTTCAACATCAGGTGATACTTATGTCTCTCCACTAGACTGGGAACTCCATAAGGCAAGGACTGGGTTTAATTTACTACTGGCCCCCAGCACTTAACATAAAGAAGGATGGCAATGAATTTGCATTCTGATTTCAGCGGTAGAAAACAGGATGAGCAACGAGGCCAAAGGTAGGTTCTGCTTTGTGTTTCTGTCGATGTGCTTTCCCTTTGGGAAGAGTGGTTTTCTCTAAATGAATGTAACATGTTATGTCCCCACAGGAATCTCTTTCCAATGGCCTTGCAAATCATTCTGATGGAACATTATAAGGCAAACCTTAAATAAGGTATTTGGCATCAGTATGTATAACTTGTGATTCAGAAAACCAGGTCAAAGCAACACAGCTTTGATTAACTTTGTTAGGCAATTCTGTAGTTCTTTGTTTATCCATTGCTTTTTGTTTTACTTTCTAATTTATATGAGGCACTGCTTCTTGTTCAGAGCAGGAAGACCGGCTGACGACAGTGGCAACATCCCGTATGTCAAGGTCCATCCCAATTCTAATGATCCTGAGACAATCAGGCACTATGTAAAAAAGTCACCAGGGAAGCTATGGCAGTTGGTATCACACAATAGCTGTGAATTCAAATAGCTTGAACCATTTTCACTTTCATGTTCAAGAATGAAAAGGCCTGTGGGTAATGGAAAGACTAATAGGGGGAGGGGAAAAAGTCACAGCAATAAAAGAAAGCTAATCCATGTGTGTATGGCATTTTCCAGGCCATAAAGGGCTTTCACATCCATTGGCTTCTGCTTTTCACAACCATTTCTTTGCAGTAGGTGTTCAGGTGAAGAAACTGAGGTTCAGATATCACAATGTGGCCTGTTTTCTCAGGTAGTAAGTAGTGGAGTCAAGATTTAAAACCATATCTTTTTTGACTCCTTGTTGAGCATATGACATTGTCTCGGAAAAGCAAGAAATGTGGAATTCTCTGTGGGGGCTGGGATATAGGGGAAGACCTTACAAATGAGCAAAGGATGGGTGGCAGAGATAGGAGCTAAACTGGGTTAGAGTCACTGAGAGGCCACCTGTAAACTCCACCTGTAAATATCAACTCTTAAAAAAATGTTGCCGTGTTATCTCCATAACATAGTCATTCTTAGTAGTTTTTCTATTTTTTGTTCAGGAGGTGTTGGGACTTGGAAATAACAGCCGACGAAAAGGTACCAACTGTTACTTGCTCTAGTTTCTGCAGCTGCATGGCTGAGAGTGGGAGAGCAGCAGTGCTGTGTGTGGGCATCAGCAGCTGCAGGGACCTTAGCAGAGGCCTTTGCAATAATCTCAACGCCACACCTGGTGTGTGAACTGGAAACTAGTAAGAGGGACTCGGAGTAAGACCTTGACATGCCCTCATGATAGAGAAAAGCAAGCTGATGTTCTTTTGGAATTTTTAGAAACTAGAAAAGAGAGAGGAAGGAAGTGAAGACAGGGGGCAGGACATTCAGTGTTCTAAATTTAGTGTTCAGTGCGTGTATTGGATGACTGTTAAGAATAAATTAGGTTCTTAGAGCCATAGAATGTTCGTGTTAAGAGTTTTAAGTTTATGTGGTTCATAAATGGGAAGTATGCAGCACGTGATGTCACTTGACAGACATCACGACGGGTCACTGCCTGCATTACTGCTGGGCTTAAGTTGGCCTCAGTACTTTCAGCACAACTCTTCAGGCACATATTACCAATTGGTCAGAGTTGGAATCTTGATTAAAATCTACTTGCCATCTCTGTTTAACCTGAACTACTCATTTTACATAGGAGAGAACTGAGGTTCAAAGATATTGAGTGATTCCTTCGAGATCACCTGGTGAATCTCCATGGGATGTTCAGAAGATCAAATCAGTCAATGTGCTATATAGGACCTTAGCATCAGGCTTAGAACGTGGTTAATGCTGTGTAAATGTTCTGCTTGTATTAATTTGATAGGTGGATGGGAAGGTTGAAATGTACCAGATAAAACATGAGGGCCTGGAGTGGAGACTCTAGGGAAGAGTGGAAATGTATGAGATTCCGAATGAAAATGTCTCGGTTGGACCTGCAGTGCCACCACATCAGTGAGGCAGGTCGCCTCTTGGAGCTTCAGCTTTCTCCTCTGTAAAACGGAGTATTATTACAAGCTGTATCTCATAGTTTTGTTGTAGAAATCAAATGAGAAAATAGGTGTGATGAAAAACTGGTTTATGAAGGCTAAAGAACTAGAGGAAATATAAGGGCAGTGCTTGAGTGGAGCAACGGGGAAAAACATGGGCTTCATTTTGACTAATTCCAGTGAAAAAAAGCCGTGGGTCTCCTCATTGGCCTCTCAGTTTCACTCTGATCATTTCTTCAGGATTCTAGTTTTGAAAATCCTGTTTAGCTGATGAGCACCAATGGGTTAAAAGGATAATTATCAGCTCCCCCATATCCATAATGACATAAGAGCTTTACTGAGCTTTGAGGAAGGCAGGTCTCCCACTGTAGAGATTTGCAGTCTCCATTATGCCTGCGTGGTCTCTACTGCATCCCAACACATGGGCAACTGAAAGCTGAGCTACAGAACAACCACAGATACAAGCCAGGGCTGTACTACTTTGTTGACAGACAGAGATCTGAAATCAGCCCATAATTAAGATAGTTTTGAGGTGGCATTTTGCATAATTAGACAATGTGCACTGTAATTATCTGCATGTTGTCTAGTGCTCAGTATAGTTGGACTTTGAAAAAAATAATTATCTTATAATGATTGAGATGGTGCAGCAAAGCTCTGAGCTATTTATTAGAATGTGGGGTTTAAGAGTGTGTGTGTGTGTGTGTGTCTGTCTGTCTGTCTGAGGAAATGTATGAGGCTTTTAAGTAAGGTTGTTACACAATGTAACTCCAAGATGCAATGTGAATGGTGCCCCCTGGAGTTCTGAAACACACAGCAGCCTCGAGCTTTGTTTCTAATCTTTCATCACACAGTTTAAAGCCATTTTGTCCCCAGAGTGGACATGGAATGATTCTAAGGGTACAAAAATAACACCTGAACATCAGTGGGAAAAGGATCTTTTTAGTGTTTGTTTACTCTGCTATTCACAAAACATAAGGTAGTCAGTCAATAGCCAGGAATTCACTAGAAAGTGCAGCCTATTTTTATTTCAAAATGACACTTTCTGGAAACCATGTCTGCCCCAAGCCTGTGTGCCTTTTCTCATGCCACCTGCCCTGCCTAGATGGTTTCTTCCTCAACTTCTCTGGCTGGTAAGCACCTCACCTGCCCAAAGCTCAGCTCAAGGCCACTTCTTTGAAATCACCTCGGAGGCCCCCACTATCTTAGGCTAGACTTTTATCCTAGAAGCTGACACACTTGGCACATTTTTTATTTATTGCTCTCTCTCCCTTCTCTCTCTCCCTCTATATGTGTGCTGAGCTCCAGAGATGGTTGAGATTCATATTGGGTCTCATGGTGTTTATGAAGAGAGCATGACATATAGTAGATGTTGAATAAGTAAACGAATATTCCTCTGTAATTCCTCATATTTCCATCCTGGAGAAATATCATTTGCTCCTCCAAACTAGGACAAAGCTCTTCTTACTTTTGTTCATTTGTGAAGAAAGTAATTTGAGAGGCTGACCTTCTGTAACCTCAGATGAGACCCAAACTAATACAGATGAGTAGACTCCATATTTGCTCTAGGAATATCAGAGTCCAGTTTCAACTCTCCTCTTTTCTCATATATAATTCAAGCTAGCTGCTTCCAAGTATTTCCTTTATTACCTCAATAACATTTCTGTGCACCTACTATTTGAGAGTTAAAGGAATTATGTGATACCATTTTGGAGCATTACTACCAAAACTTGTCAAGCAGCTGCAAACTTTGGCCCAAGTTTTATAACTTAATGATTCTAAGAAAAACATTCCCACCTCTAAAAGAGAATTCAGGGGCCCCTAAAATACTCTAAAAAAGACTTCTAGAGGAAAAGGCAGTTCCTGTATATACTTTGAATCAAAAGGCTTGAAAAAACAAGGTATGATGCTTCCCCCTTCTATCTCTGTGTCTACAGGATGGAAGCACAACACTTAAAAACTGAAAACCGGACAGCAAAGAAAATAGGGCCGTGAAACCAGACAAGCACGTTGTATATTTCCTTATACTAAATTGAGGGTACCTCAGAGTCAGGGAGAAAATCTTGGGTCACTTTTTCTTGGCCTGGACTCTCTGTTTTGAAATCAAATGAAGAGAGGGGGTAGGCAAATGTTTCTCCAAGTTTGGATAATTGCAAAATTGTAAGAATTTTAAGAATGTACAAATGTTAAGGACCAAATTGAGGACAAGAAACCTTTGATTCCTTCATTTATAAGACTTGTCATTCTGTTGAGGAAGAAAATGAACTGGTTCTAAAATTTGTCTGATCAAGGGTATCTTCACAATATTTTCAATTTTATTCTGCGGTGTGTTTCATCTTCCTCCTCGGGCCCCTACCCCCTTCTGCCACCTTTCCTCTTGTCTGTGTGTGTTTTTTCCTATTTGCCACCAATCTGGTTCTCCAAAGCCTTTCTCAAAATCCAAATGAAATTAGTCTTATTCCAAGAACACTACGTGGCAGCCTATCTCAAAAAAGACATGGTTTTGTAAAGCACCATGCTATAATTAAAAAAACAGAATCACCAAACAAAATCTATTCTAGTTTTTAATTAATACAATATTGAAGGGAAAAAAGCCCACCCAATTTCTGTCTTGGTAGCTGTGGGTCATATATATTGGGCCTGCAGTTTTCTAATATCCTCAGCAACTGCTTTTTTGAGTAACCCATTTCAGTAAGGAGTACAAACAAATATTACAGAAATTGTAAAAATTCTACTTAAGAATATGTACCTATGTTAGTCACCAAAAACCAGTAAATAGGTGGTAAGAAACCACAGGAACGGATCAGAAGGATGTGCTTGGTGTTTGGTGAATATTTACATACGCTAAGCAAATGGCTTGAGGTGACCAAACAAAGACCAGAAATAATTTTTAAGTAGTTACCTACCTTTTCAGTTAAGCTTTCTGATCCAAGATTTGTTCACTTAAAGAAAAAACGTGAGTTCCTTCAACATTAAAGGATGAAACTTTTTCATCACTTCCCAACCATCAAAAATATAATATTATGTGTCACAGTGTCTACCTTAAAATTTTAATCAAGGAGAGAAGAGATATAAAAGGTTCATGCTCAATTTAAAAGGAACACCGTAATTCATAAAGATTTCTCTCATAAAAGGGAGCCAGGAACAGAACGGAAAAGGCAAAATCAGAAGGAAAAGAAAACCACGACTTTTCAACCCTCCCACAGGGAGTTTAAATTATTTGGGGGGTGGGGGCACAGAATGTCAAAAGGCACCAGGTTGAACTTTCCCCCCACCTTCTCTGGGAGAATTGCCTCATAGGCCAGGCAACTGGGGTTGGAAATGCTTGCTTAAGTCACATGAGTCCACCGGTGGCCCTAGTGTCTTTTGTATCTTTCCACATCAAATGATGATTTCATTTCAAGCCATTTGCTTTGGGTGAAGATGAGAACAACAACAGCAAAAATCTGAAATGACCACCACAGGCAATGGGGGCGATTGCAAAGGAAAAAAACCACAAACCAAAGCAATCACTTACGGTAGCTACTTTCGCTATCGCTGGCATTAGAAGAAGCATGTTCTGCAAGAACAGCACAGCAAATTAAAGAGATACCAAGCATTGGCGAGCAGCCAGGGCTTAAAGGCACACACTCATGCACAGCTACTAGAAACGGGAGCAAAAGGCGAGTGAAAGGCCGCAGAGGAGACCGCATTAAGGAAACGCAGATAAGATAAAAAAGATGAAAACTTTATCTCCACTTTACAGGAAACTACTACTTGATTGCTGCATCTTCTTTTTAGGAAAGTATCTAATTACAAAAAAATGTATCATGTCAATCTAAGCACTTTAAAAAAAACCCACAAAAAACTTTGGCCCATTCCTATAGGTCTGATTTTTCTATATGTGTGTTACTCAGGTCAATGTGTGTCTGAGCTCGATGTTTCAGGGGTTGCTAAACCAGCAGTTTCCTTGCAGGCTCTTTAGTTTTTCCAAAAAAAGAAAAGAAAAGAAAAAGTTTTTATTGATTTTAGAGAGAGAGGAAGTGAGAGGGAGAGAGAGAAACATCTATCGGCTGCCTCCTGCATGCCCCCTACCGGGAATGGAGCCCCCAACCCAGGCATGTGCCCTGATTGGGAATTGAACCCAAGACTCCTCGGTGCATGGGATGACTTTCAACCAACCAAGCCACACCAGCTACGGCTCTTGCAGGCTTGTTTCTCTATTTTAGCCTTTAGGTATTTTGTAGGAATATTGCATTCCAAATTGCCAATTGATCCCAGGAATTCCTTGCATTTTATTTCTATTTAACTACTTCCTAAACCAATTCTCAGGATGAAAAGGGATTGCTGGAGATCCTTTCTGCTCCAGCGAGTGAATAGAAAATCTTAGAGGAAGAAAAGAGTCACTGAAAAATGTTTTATGAATTCATATTCCCTTGTTTTTATTTTAAGATTCTTCTTTGGATAGCTATTAGTTTCTGAAAGAATGAAACAGGCAGGAGGTAAATGAGCTGACACCAAGCAGGTCCTGGAATGGAGTATGTTTTTAATTCACGTTGAATGACTTGCTTGTGCAGTGGTATTTCACATTTTTAGAATTAAAATGCAGTTTAGCTCATATCCCAGGGATGTATATGCCAGAATTAGAGCTTTTATTTCCAAAATCATATCCTTTCATCTGTGCTATGTATTAAATTATAGAAGATAAATTCATCAACTTAATGACTATTTATATATCAGGTTAATTAAATGAAGACTATGTGACAATTTGATTTCTGAAGCTTATTAGCAATAACTTTAGCTTTTTAAAAAGTTGCACATTTTTAGAACTAGGAAAAGAATATGTAACATTATTCCCTAATGGTAAAAATGAGCTTTAATATGTATTTGATATTACAGATTCTTGCCAATTGAATGGGTTAGTTTTCTTTGATTTAGCTTTACTGAGTTATAGCTGACAAATAAAATTGTAATACCTTTAAAGTGTACAGTGTAATGGTGATGGATGTATAAACACTGTGAAATGATTCCTACAATTGAGTTATTTAATACATCCAGGATGGATTAGTTTGAGCATGAAACAAATGAAAACCAAAGCATGGGTTAAATTCACACAAATAGTTTCTCTCTGTATTTGTGTGTGTCCAGCACTGCATTGCTAATTTAGACGCATGTTTTACAAGTGCAGAGGAGCACTAGGGAAAGAAGTGTGGACGAATCCATGCAAATCTGTTTGTGTTACTGAAAAAAGTCATGTCACACACCCAACAATGGTTTATCTTAATTCACATGATTATATCTTAAGTGCTTCGAATTGGGAAAAAGGTTTTTTTGTTTGTTTGCTTTTGATTTATACTTCTAAAATAATTTAGAATGAAGCTACACTATCTATGGAGGAATTTAGGACCATGCAGTGTTTTATTTAACAAACAGTCTCAGCATCGAGACACTGTATAACAGAATTTTTGTAGGTAAAAGGAAATAAACACATGTGTTCCAGCCCGGCAGGGCGTGGCTAAGCGGTTGAGCGTCGACTTGGGATCCAGGTGATCGTGGTTCGATTCCCGGTCAGGGCACATGCCCGGGTTGTGGGCTCGATCAATGACTCTCTCATCATTGATGTTTCTATCTCTCTCTCTCTCTCTCCCTTTCTCTCTCTGAAATCAATAAAGATATATTAAAAAAAAAGTGTTCCAGATAAAGGCCAAATTATGACTAACAACAGCATTAATTGGCAAACGATGTTACTGAAATCTGTTCGATTTCTTAAAGAGTAAAAAAACATTTGCACATTCTAGATTTAAAAGGGCATCGCTCATATTTTTGACACTCTGATAGCAACTACATTTTAGTGATGTTTATTTATTAGCAATACATTAAAGTGCTTTCCTCTCCCCCTTTGACTGAAAATTTAGAAACTCTTTCTGGTGGTACTGGGTGATGTCCAGACAATGTTAAAATCAATATTTAAACTTCAGGGCTGTTTCATATAGAGACTCAAAGATAAAGTTTTCATCTTTAAGGAGATCAGTAGTTTACTCTTGATCAGATTTTTTTTTCTATATATGTGGCTAAAAAAAAAAGTCCAAAGTAACAGTTTGAAGGATGAAGGGTCTCATTACGCAGGGTTATATAAACAGCTCTTGAAAACAAAGTGCAACTCAACGCTATTTCGTTTTATACAAATGAAATGAACAGCTTCTAAAAGTATTGCCCATAGCTGTTAAATTAAAACAAACAAGAATTGAACATGTGATATAGTTGCAAAAGACACAAATCTCTGTTCTTAATTCACTGGTGCTACACAATGGAGTTAGTATTAAAAAAAGAAAAATCATAGCACAGTATATTAACATACAAGATTATTTTTTATTGCTCAGTGCAATGAGACACAGACTAAAGGCATTAATAACTAGAAGATTTAATGGTTTAATATATCTAATTTTCCACTAGAAAATGAAGATCTGTTACGTAATGCAGCCAATACATCACTAAGAGAACAACATATTAACACATATCTAAAACTTTATCATACAAACGTTTCAAGCAGGCCACTGAAAGTCAGAAAAAAAATCAGTCAAAGTTAATAACAAAGAATCAGCCTTGGAAGATCAAATAGCTTAATCTTTACATTTTGAGAATGCATGTTCCTTTTGACTATAAAATAGCTCCTTTATTAATAGCAAAGTAAACCCAATTATGAAATTTGGCAAGGTGTGGGTGAAAAAGCAGAAGGAAGGACATAAAGTAAACTTCTGCTTTCCTGGTCTAGGACATTTAGCTCGTCCTTGCATTCAACAAGGCTCCTTGCCCTCTGGGGGGAATCAAGCTGCAGAGCAAGGGATGCCACAGTTGGCATCGGGACCATGTCGGTCACATCACACGGTCAGAAAGGGAAGGTGTGGCTCGCAATAGAAGTTACAGTGCCCGACACACTTGGCTTTTAAATGCTGACATGCAGGACAAAACGGTTGAAAGTTACTTTGCAGGAGCATTCACAGCTAGGTAACAAATAAAAACTCGTATCTTGTGCATGCTAGGAGGAGAAGGCCCTCAAGAAAAGGAACAAAAGCCAAACTCAAAAGGAAGGGAAAAGAAAAGAAAAGTTACAGTGACCATTCCTGGGAACTTACTCAGAGTCTTTGTTCCATAACCGTCGTCACCTAATCCGGGGATGTCCTGCATGGAAGTCCCCAGAGAGAGCAATGAGAGAGGAAGAACAGCCACGGAAGAGGAAGGAAGAAGTCAGTGGAGTTGAAATGGATACTACCATGACGGACCGCGTTGCCTAGGCAATCTGGATCCCACGCTCTTATTTCCAAACAATTTGCGCCCCAAACTCCCTGGGCTGAGACTCAGGAATTTGTAAAGTAACTTGAAAGGTTTAAGCAGAAGATCGCTACAAAAGAAAGATTCAGCAGATGCCATTTTGGCCCATTGTCCACGTGGCCACAGAAATGGACCACTCAGAGCAACAGCCCACTCCAAGTTCAGGACCAATTCTTAGATTTAGCATCCACCAGGGCAAGTCCACTGCTCAGTAAGAGTTTAATATTTGTTGGAAGCGAGTGAACAAATGCTAGTTATCGATATAGGGAATATAATCACTTCCAATTAGCTGGCATTCCAAAAAAAATGCATGTGGCAATGGGGTGCGATATTTCTGTCCAGAATGGAAGTCATCTCAAGCCCTAGAGAATTGCATGATAAAAAAGGCAAACCAGACCCAATACTGGTCCCAGATAAATGCTCTTTGGAAGCCAAGGCCCAGCTTCCTCAAGTCCCTCTCCAATGCGTTCTGCGGAGAAGAGCCACACCGAGGGAAGGATCCAGACTGCAGCCAAACACTGGTCACAGTAGTAAGCCCTGGCCTGCCTGCCTGCCGTGTTTGTTTGCCTAGATGTGTGGCGTGGGGGAGCCTACAGCAGGCGTGTTGCCGGTGAAGGATTTTATTCTCTTGTGTTGCATGTGACGTTCTCTTTGAGAATCTACTTACGTTCAGGATCACTGGTTTCCTGCTCACTCTGCTCCTTGTTCTTGTAGAATGGGAATTTTCGTGAAAAGATGAAGTTCTTTTTACGCTTGTCATTGAATGACTGTGAAGGAGAAAAGGCATGGGGCAAAAACAGGGGACGTCTAATTGTTGTCACACTCATGCTGACAAAACAACTAGTTTGTAAAAGCAGAGAGAGCTGTAGTGACGCAAGTGGACAGTCTAGGGAGGTGCCAGAGGGTCCCTAAAGGCAGATTTTATTTTCAAGGAGTGTAAATTCTGAATGATGACACCTTGGAAAAATGGTATCCTAATTAAAGGAACTGGTTGCAGATAAATGATGATGGAGAAAAAGAGTATTAAATTGGAAGCAGAAGACCTGGAGTCTCTGTCCGACTCTATGCCTTGCGAGTCCATCACCTTAGACAGGAAACGGAATCTCTCTGAACCTCAGTATCTTCTTCATCCCCATAACGAGGATAATGATAGAAGCTCTTAAGTTGTGAGACTCATGTAAGGCAGCAGAAATGTAAAGTGTTATACAAATGTTATCTTTATCTTCACTATTATCATCAAGTAGAAAAGATTTTACTAGGACACATCGGTGTCTAGGTGTCCTTTTAAATAACCTGAATTCGAGTTACTTCAACTTAGATTTAATTAAAACCACACGGAAATGTGAATAGATTTATGATATGTGATAATTATATCTATTTCACACACAGATTAATAATTACGGTACAACATTTTTATTCATAGGTGATTTTAAATACAATTAAGTCCCAAGGCTACATTTGTAGACAAGGGCCAGAGGCACAGAGAAGTTGCCTTTCTTGCCATATCACAGAGCTAGCTGGTGACACAGTCCACTAATAAGAAAAAAAAATTGTTGCTAAAGAGGTATTAACTGGGTATTCACGCAAGCAAGGGAGATACAACAGCTGCTTATCTGTATTCTGATATGATAAAAAGTAATGGAAGAAGGACTGCCCTTAAAAATATAAACCATTCCATTAGCTTAAATGAGGTTGGTTTAAAGTAATACATATATACATAACATAATACATATATTAGAACTTTTTCAAGTGAATATCAGATGCTTGCCTAGAAGACTCCTTAAAAAGTTGTCATTTATTCCCACTGTTGCTGTTACGTAAATGTTCTCTGGGGCTCTTCTTTGGGAAATGTGTTCACAGTCACTTTATAAGCTAAACCATACAAGTCTTAGTAATTTCATGTTCACTTATCATTTAAAAATATGTTTTGCCAGCCCGATTGCCATCCTTATTCGACTGATTTGGCTCTGAGGGTCACTCTCCAAGAAACAAGACATGCCACCACATAGGTATTGCAGGGAATGTAAGAGACATGTTACATTTTGAGGGTCATTCGACAAGGAGTGTTCTCAAACAGGTTTGTCAATGGCAGCTGGTAGGAATAAATCCAGAGCCAGCAAGGTGACTGCATGGAAGAGAAGCGCTTGTTTCTATGTATGTATTTTGGCCCATTGGTCTGAATCAGTTATGGGCCCTTACGGATTAGAAGCTTGAGAAAATGGTGTAAATAACTTATTTCTCTTGTATATTCATGCACTCCTCTATCAACATCCGTTTTGGTCATCATGTTCATTTAGGAAACGTTAAAGTACTAAAATGTTGGTGCTGTCATTCAATGAGTCGTTACTTTTTCAGTTACCACGGCTTTCACCAACGTCAGGGGAGCTTAATTTTATGTATCATTAAGAAGGCTTGAAGAAAAACATTAGATCAAATATTTAAGAATTTCTGAAGTTAAGGGCCATATTTTATACTTAATATTCAAGAACTAGAAACACATTCTCGGGGGGAAAAAAAGTACCACTTCAGAATTTATTACTCTGCTGACAGCACTTATGTTCAATATAGTTTTATCCTAATTTGTAATTGAGAATTGGTGTCCAAAGACAAGGCTGGGAACTCCCCCGCCAATTTTTTCCAGTTAAAAAATGATAAGTTCTTAAAGGAACATTAAATATTCTTGCATCACTCCAGTTTCATGCCACTTTTACATTTCAAGCATATTTAAACGTCAGTGACTGAAAATAAAAGAAAAAAAAATATCATGTAAGAATTAATGACACGTGACATTGTAAGATATGTTAGACATTTAACTTCAACATTACAGGTGACTTGTCATGCAAAAAAAAATTTACAAATTTTCATGCAGATATAAAACAATGCTGAGATGAGTAAAGCCTGGGGTTAAAGTGTAGACACGGACAATGTGGAGGCTTCTGGAAGACAAACTGAGGCCACGTGCAAACTGCATCATTTAAACGATCTCTCGGGGTCAGAGGAAATGAAAATGTGTTGCCTATGATGAATTCTTCTATATTTTCATAATGTGTTATATAATGTGTTACATTTCCCAAGTATGAAAATGCTGTGTATCATGTCACCTGATTGGGACATAATATTTAGCACTGCACTTATAACAAGAACAGAAAATACATAACAATTCCTCAAAAATAAAGTCCTCTAACATATCAGTCTCATTACCCAAAGCCATTTTGTGTTGGGATTAAAGAAAAAGTAATGGAATCCTTGATGGTTACATTTATGGACAGAAGACCAAATCACAACTTTAGTTTAGACTCACAGATTTAAAAGTCACACATTTAGGGTCTTAGTTCAACATTTCAACTACAAGAGGTTATATGTGGTTTATGATGTTTTAACACTGTTTTTCATTTTTTATTAGACATGTTTAATACTATTGTATAAGCTTTTTTGTTGCTGTTAATTTTTCCTTTAATTTAAAAAAGGAAAATCTGTTTCACCAGCGTTAGGTGATAGTAGTAAATTAGCACTTTTACTATTTATAGAACACACTGCTCTAAAGCAACTGAAGGCTGGTTTACAGCTCTGCCAATCATACCTGATCAAGGTCATTTCCCCTCTACATCACAGTATCCTAAATCCCCACCCATTGCTTTCATGGCAGGAAACTTTTGAATAGAGATTTTAAAAATACCAATCACATGTGGCAAGTTGGCATGTCAAAGAATTCCATTTTGGAATTTGACCTGAATTATTGAATTCTTATTGACAAAAGTGATAAAACAACAACAACTAATGTTTATTGAGCAATTGTTATGTACCAGGGTTGGTTCCAAAATCTCTCCATATGCTAACCTCCACACTAACTGGTACCATCATTGTTCTCATATTACAGAAGAGGAAACGGAAGTTTACAAATTTTCTGTTACTTGCCCACAGTCGGTGAGCAGTGAAATCAGAATCTGAATTTGCCAATATTTGTTTTTCTTATGAGCGAGATAAATTTCTGTAACCAGAGCCTGTTTCAAGTTTATATTTAAAAGTAGTAAAATTTGACTCTCTTGAGTGATACCATAATCTGTCATCAATCCTACAGCTTCATTGCTTGGCAATTATTTTTTTAAGCCACTAGATGCTATTGGCTTCAGTAATATTTTTGTGGGTTATCCTGCTACAATTTTTGGATACCCGTTTATGTTTCTCAGGGCTCTATCTTATTGTTCTTATTCTTATAATAATGTAAAAAAATAAAAAGTATTTCAATGGGACAGGGTATGGACAGGGCTGAGGGTAGAGGATCCCGGGAGTGGGAAGTGACAACTGATGGTTATAGTGTTAGTTTTAGGGGAGATAAAAATGTTCTAAAGTTCGAGTGTAGTGATGGGTACATAGCCTTATGAATATACTAAAAACAATGAACTGTACACTTCAGGGTACAGTATGTACTCTGGGTAAATTATATACTCTGTGAATTATGTCTCAAAAAGGCCATTAAATAAACTCCAAACAAAACGGAACCCCCCTCCCAAACTCCACAACCATGGGATAAGAGGAAACAATCACAGCATGCTGTCAATTTTACTTGGGGTAAATATTTTTATTTGGGGTAAATATTTTTTATCTTTAACTGAATGAAAGGAAACCACCCTCCTCAACCCTTGCAATCAGTCCTATACACGTCTTGTTTATCTGATTCTGTTGTGTCTCTGTTAAATGAATACCTTTCATGTTGTGACAGACATTAGAACACCCATACTAGGAGTCAGCCTGTTATCATTGTCACTCAGAAGAAGTTTTGAAATTGTTAGGTCAGATGGCATGAAATTGCCCAGCCTGACCCCAAGATATAATGGCATTAGTGAACTGGCTTAAGATAAAATACACACTCCCAAAGAACAAAAGGAAACAAAACAAAAAACCTCAAATAGCTACTTTCCCCACTCAAATTCCACGTTCTTAAGACATGTGAGTGAATCTTGACAGGCTTTTCTTCTTCCCATCCAGAAAGCTTTATAACTGTGGATATGTTTCGGTTTTCTTCTACCTTAACCAAGAGATCAAATTTAGCATCACCAAATAGTGGGATAACTTCACACCATGTGCCTCCTGATGGGAAGTACTGAGAAGTACACAATATTACTTATGTAGTATTCCTACCAAAAATGCATTAGTTGCAGCTAACCATGAAGAAATAATCAGGCAAATTAAAATTAAGAGACCACTCTTAAAATATCTCAATGTCATGAGAAATATAAAAAGCTAAGGAACCATTCTAGGCTAAAGGAGGTTAAGGAAACAGGACAAATGAAATGCAGTGTGTGGTTCTGGATTGAATTCCAGATCAGAACAGAAGGTCATAATTTCTAGAACTTCCTTTCAAAATAAATCAGGATATATATAT